GTCTGGATGCCAGGGAAGCCATCCACAGTCTTTGGCTTCTCCTGGACCTTGACAAATGTTTCTTTCCCTTCACCCCATGATGAGGGGATTTAAAAGAGCCCCATGATATGGTGCGTTTTCTCTCATGGGAATGAGCACCTGGTTTCTGCTTAAGCAGTGGTATTTTTCTAGTCCATCATTGTCCTGGTCATTTAAACTGGGAATGAAAAGGCAATTTTCCTCCAAAGAGCAACATAGATTTTAATCCTCTATCTGACTAAAAGTCGAAAAGAGAAATAGGTCAGTCAGCTGGCTTGTCATGAGCTCTCATGTAATCCTGACCTCCTAAAATGTCAGTTATGCTTTTACCATCCAGATCTCTCCTCACTTTGGCTTCACTAACTCTGGCTAGTGACACACTCTGTTTTAGTTCAAAGCAGCCTGAGGCAGAGGTTTGTCCTCTTGGTCTGAAATTACTATATTATCTCCTAAAGACTATTTCAAAGTGTTTTCTAAGAATTTAGTTAAAACACTCATTAGATTAATAATTTAGGTTTGTGCTCTCACCAAACCAGTATTTAGCAATATCACTTAGGGATATTTCTTCCCTTGCTTCCAGGAACTATTATTTTTTAATTCATGCCCTCCAGTCCAAAATCCTGTGTCTTTCACAGCCTATGAACTTTCTCTCCTTTTGTTTAAATTAACACCCAGATGTAATGTATTTGGTCTTACATGCATAGTCTTATCTGAGATCATAGAAATAAAAATCCATCTGATAGGGAAAAAAAAACTTTATCAGATGTAAATAGTTTGGCGGAAGCGTCTGTGAACTCATTACTTTCCTAGAAAGGAGACAAAGGCATTGGACTGTGGTGCTTAATGACCCCTTGCTCTGACTTCTGTTCACCAAGTAACCTTTTGATTATATTTTGGCTTCCAGGGTGCATTTGCCTATAGGGTGAAAATATGTTAAATAAGAATTTCCTTGACAATTATATTTTATTATAATTTAAGAAATTTGACAATTTGGCTAAATTGAAAAGAAATAGGAGATACAAGGTTTAAAAGGCTTCTATCATATTTAGATCTACTCTGAATCTTTTATCAGAGATATTAAGCCCCAAGATACCGAAAAGCTAGCGAACTATGGCTTCATGCTCAGTAAACACTCCCTGAAGCACTTTTCCTTTCCCCCAGTTAAAATTATTCATAGTTTTTGGAATCTTTGTTCTGCCCTGCTTCTAGTAAACTTGGCTAGGAACACAGTAAACTTAGAAAGCTATTACAAAGGGATTGCAGGTCTTGTTTTAGATCAGTAGTTCTTCTCTATTTTTCCACTTCACACCTGAACAAGATGCTGTTATGCCATCAGCAGTCACCCAGGGTTTGAAAATAAACACACATACACCCCTCCTCCATGTTTTTCATCTCAGGGGGAGTGATCATTCTCCTTAACCCCAATTTTGAGAAGTGCTTTTTCTATCTAAATCCATCTAAATTCTATTTCACAAAATTTGGATTTCAGCCACCTGGAAGTCCGGTATTAAACTGCCTGATTTTAAGGGGTCACTTTCTGTTCTGTGATCTTATTTCTCACATTTCTTTGTCCCCTTTGTCTACTGTACCCTTATATATAAAGGTTTCTCCTAGTCAGTTCTGTGGAAGGAAAACTTGGTCGTTCAGTAGTTTAGATGTTCAACTAAACTATATATATGGCTTTTGGAAAATCTCCATACCGCATGCTGCCCACCTTCTCCTCCACTCCACACACACATACACACAGTAAATGTTGTCATAGCACTTGGAATATTCCTATATCCAAGTATGGGTGACCCACAGATGTGAAATAGCCAAGGGTAGATGCATTTCCCAGTGCAGAGCAAGGACTTGTCAGCAGACCTATCCAGGCCCTTGGAACACATTTTCTATGTTCAAAGGACCAGAAAATAAGGAATTAGGGAACATAATTTCAGATTGTCTAGCAAAAAATACAGCTCTTCTTGCCTTGAGGGGAACTAATGATGCATTTTTATGTTTTTTTTATATTTAAGTAGAAGAATCAAGGCAAATTAAAGTACGTTTCTTAACTATTTGGTCTACTCTGTCAAGTGTTGTCTCTAGCTTTCTCTCCCCTTCTGTTTTCCCAGGACTACCTTCTTCTGCTACTAAGATCAGCTCCCATACAAACATCATGCAGTGTCTTTATTGCTCTTTTGTATTTTGGTCATCACTGATGTTGCATTTGCCATCAAGAGTTTTGTTGGTAGTTAGCAGATATTGGAGAGACTACCTGAATCCATCAAACCCAGATTCTAGACTCTAAAAATTGTCCTTTCAGCTCTCTGCCATCTCTCTTCTCGTTTTATTCTTTTTTTAAAATCTTTATTTTATTTTTATTTATATATTTGACAGAGTATACCAACAGGAAGAGCTGCAGAGGGAGAGAGAGAAGCAGGACCTTGGGATCATACCTGAGCTGAAGGCAGATACTTAACTGACTGAGCCACCCCAGCGCCCCTCGTTTTATTCTTTTACTCTAAGATAACATACGCATTGACGATCCACCATTTACATTAACCACAGGAATGCTTTTCTTTGGGGATTTAAGTATTGCAGTATTGACAAAGTAGGCGAGTTCAACTGTGTCTAACCTCTGATCTGGAAAAACATCATTGAGTAAATCATTACAGATAGGGTTGTGAAACAACACATCACTCTTAAACTGTGCCTTTCAAAGTTGTTATGAATATTATCTCTCCCTTTGACCACACCCCTAAGAATTAGGCATTGAGCTGGGGATAGAAAGAGTGGTCAAGGTCATGCAAGCTATTTCTCTCCAAGGAGAGACACTCAGAACTCATCCAGGGAGTTGCAAGTCAAGTTTCCCTCTTCTTCTACAGCCCTACCTCCCATTTACCAGTCCCTGGGACCTTACAGCTCTTTAGTGGAGGTGAAGTATTTCTGATTGATAAATAATTTACTTAACTATTACAGACTCCTGTTGTTGATCAGAAAGAACATGAAATCAAACAAGCGATTTTGAAATCTGTGATGAATTATTGTTCTTGTAAAGATCTTACATAGTCAGGTGTGAGGGACATACCATCATACCAAACTGTAGTCACTGAACTATAACATAGTGCTTTCCCTTCAGTCGAGTTGAATGAATGGGCTGCAGGACAGAAGCTCGCCCCTCTCTTTTTTACCTTAGTGCCTGAGAGTATTCTAAATCAGGGCAAATGTATATTTAGGCTCTCTCAAAGGCCTAAGACTATAGGAAAAAATAGAATAGCTGGAAGCAAAGGTAAAGACTAGCTGTTTAAAACTCAGGCAAAAACTAGCCAGTTTTTAAAAACTGCACCCATTTAAAAAAAAATATGAAGAATTGTAATAAATTTCAGGAAGTTGAGGTTAATTTTAAAAATTAAATATTCAAATCATGTGAAATTAAAATTTGTCTAAGCCTAAAATCTTATTGAGAAAATTTCTAGAGAAAAACAAGGTAGGAAGCTTGGTAAGTTAGAGCACAATCAAAAGTGATTTTATTACTATAGTTATAAAGTTAGCTATTATAACAGGGCCATTTAATGACACTTGGACAAAGGTTAGTATTAATGTGCAGGTTCTCAGATCCAAGTGAAGCTATCAGTCCAGTTGCCTTCCAAACATCTCAGATTCAGAATCTTAAAAACACCTCAACTCAATGTGTACAGAAAGGAACTCATCAGACACATATCTACTGCAACAAGCACCAGCCCCCAGCTTCATTCCCTGTGTTCCTATCTCAGCAAATGAAGCTGCCCAGGAAGAAAACCCAGGAAGCATTCTTGATGCTCTTTTACTCTCCCCTCTTTTTTGCTAAGAAAAAAACAGAAGAGCATGAAATGTGATCCCTACGTTGTTGCTTACATCTCAAGTAGCTCAAGTAGCTTACATTTGCTTGGAAAGCTAAGACAAAGACAAGTCATTAAAAGAGACAAGATAATAAGATGTATAGGATAAATATACATGATTCCTTACGATTGCCAATGTATTTTACAAACCACTATGGCTTAGGATTTCAGAAAAAGATGCAGTCATTCCAGGTGGGGATAGTTTTGAGGTGGCCCAGGATATAACTGATAAAGAGCTCCCTACTTCTTGCTCTGATGAGCTGTGGTTCACCAGTACATTCTCCCTGATCCTTTTTGCGAGGAAAGCACACATACAAATGACCCTTTGTTGATGTCTCTCTTTTATTTATTTTTGAAAGATTTTATTTATCTGACAGAGAAAGAGACAGCGAGAGAGGGAACACAAGCAGGGGGAGTGGGGGAGGGAGAAGCAGGCTTCCCGCAGAGCAGGGAGCCCGATGCGGGGCTCGATCCCAGGAACCCGGGATCATGACCTGAGCCGAAGGCAGACGCTTAACCACTGTGCCACCCAGGCACCCTGATGTCTCTTTCTTTTAATCAAGGTTGCCGTTTGCAGTTTTAATCTTTTCATCTCCGGGACTCCCCCTCTGATGCTGTTTTTCATAAATGCTATACTGCTGTTCCAGGTTAGCGTTCAATGGGTACTGATATTTCTGCAGTATATATGCCTTTGTTGTGAAGACCCCACATCCCCTTTCTGTAGTGCTGTGAAACAGATTCATACCTACCTGTAGTTGTCTGTTCTGTCTTTCAGGACTAACTAAGCCATATTGCCACAACCATTGCTTCAGGGATGGTTTCATGGCCCTTTGGAAAATCTTACATTAATTGAGGCTAATTAAAATACTGAAGCACTGTTAAATTATTGAAACATGGAATAGCAGCAGATGTCTCACAATGATAAAAGAGGTTAGATCTCACCTGTGGATTAATTATTACTCAGTTTTTTATTCTGTGTGAGCATCACTTTAGAAGAAAGTGGTTTCTCAGTTTCTTTCAGAGCACTCTGTCCTCTTATTGGGTACATATCTTGATTTCATTAATCTCTAAGCATATTGTTAACCCCAAATACTAAAACATGCTTTCCAGAGCAAAGCCGTAGGCATGGAGCAGTGTCCAGAAGATTTTCACACTTTGGTGATGATTGTGCTTCTTGAGTTGGAGAGAACCATTTATCTCCAGTTTTTCCTGCAGTAAGATGCTTTATCTTTTTCATAAACTTGGATCAGCCTATTTTACCTTTTTCATGTATTACTAAGATGCACTTTTTTGATGCATTGAAAAGGCAGTGATAGCCCACTTATTTATAGTCACCTCTCTTCAGAAACATCAGGAACACATCCAAAAACCAAAAACTGAGAAATAAAGGCCATTGAGCAGTTGGAGTTGTTAGAAAATCCATGTACTTTATTCATAAAACTATTCCTGAAACCTTCATTCAGAGTCTTTATTTTTACCTAAAGTACCAGTCTAGCACTTAAAGTAAGTCTCCTAAACACAGCTGCTATTTGGAAGCCAATATGAAGAAAGATTTTAACGTACAGACTGCCAACATGACTTTTTTGTGTTAAGGCAGTCAGATTTACTTAATAGAATAGCCCCCAGAGCTATCAATATATTTTAGTTCAGTATAATAAAACTAACAGCTATGGCATGCCTGGGTGGCTCAGTAGGTTAAGCATCCGACTTTTGATTTCAGCTCAGGTCATGATCTGAGGGTCATGAGATCAAGCCCTCCATCGGGCTCCACACTGGGCTTGGAGCCTGCTAAAGATTCTCTCTCTCTCTCCCTCTGCCCCCTCCCCACCCACTTGCATGTGCGCGCTCTCGCTCGCTCTCAAAAACATAAATAACAGCTAAACTTTAATAATAGTGAACATGGTAACAACCCTGAGTCATTAGGAAGAATAAATTGTGTTCAGAGGAGGATATAATTTTTAAAAGACTTCCATCAAAAATACTTTTAAAATTTTAAATGTTTGGTGCTTGAAGTATAAACTTTATGTGGAAAATTCACTTTAGGTTGTAAGAAAGCATTAGTGTACATCTCTGAATTATTCTTTATTGAAGTGTGTTTAATGTGATTGGCTGACAGTAATGGTAACTGATAAGTTTGTAGATTTTCCTTTGCACTAATCCTAAGTGGAAGAGGGGCACATGCTCTGTTAAGACCGAAAATGGTTAAGTGTTCTGGCCAAGGTTACACAACTAGTAAGTGGCAGAATACTCACTACCATCTCACAGTACTGTATCCTGTTACACATGTTACACTGTTGGTACCACCTGATAGACATAGCGACAAGGCGAGTGAGGAAGGCAGGAGGCCAGTGTAGGCAGTCTAAGGTAAGCCTTCCTGGAAAGGCACCTCATGACTGGGAGATAAAGTCAGAGATTGAAGAAAAGACGAATTAGCTGGAAGATACTATCAAATAACATCTGTTCAACACATATTTATTAAGCTGCTCTGAGTGCCCTGACAGTTTCATAGTCAGATAATAGTCTCCTGAGGAATTACAGTCCAGAGAGAGAGAAATTGAGAGGTTGTATAAAACTCCAGAAAATTGGATGGGGCGCCTGGGTGGCTCAGTCGGTTAAGCGTCTGCCTTCAGCTCAGGTCATGATCTCAGGGTCCTGGGATGGAACCCTGGGTCAAGCTCCCTGCTCAGCAGGGAACCTGCTTCTCCCTCTCCCTCTGCCCTTCCCCCCACTTGGGCTCGCTCGCACTCTCTCACAAATGAATAATTAAAAAAAAAAAAAATGGAGCTCTCCAACTGCTTGGGCTTAGTAAAACCCAGACATCCAGAAACACAGAGCAGCTCTTGAAAACACTCGGCTGTCTGTGCAGGAATTGCTTTTAGCTTGTCTTGAATCTAGTATCATCCTTGCCCGCCACCTCCCACTGTCCAGGTTAAACTTCAGAGTTGTCCTGGATAACTTATGGAAGTGGTTGTCTGATGTAGAATGACTTCTTGTGAAGTACTGTAAAATGCTTGTTGAAGGTCTAGGAGAATGTAGCAGGTGGGGCTTGACTGAGAAGACATCCTGCTGCCTCCTTGCAGTGACAGAACCTTGCAGTTTACTGCAGGATTTCCTGTTTCCTTGCTTAGACCTAGGAATCAGTAGTTGCTTGTAACTCCATCTGTCGTTGTGTCTGAAATGTGAAATTACCAATCTCCATTTCTCATTGCCCCAGGAAGGGGGCAGAAGAATTCCTGCATTACTGTTTGCAGAATTGTAAGTCCAGCCAATTAGTCATGCTGAGAAACCATGTTAAAACTGTAATTTCTCTAAGTCCAAAATTTGTAATGTAGTGCGTCTGAATTTTTGTCAGTGTTGTGGACTTACAAATCAATGACTGTTTACTAATAGGAATACCCAGGCCTAAAACGAAAGTGTATGTTGATTGACTGGAGTTAATAATGTGGCCAAAATTTTATTTTCTGAAAAATTATTTTCAATGATATTTCTTCTCTATAAGATAAAAATTATTGTGAATTGATCACTTAAAAAGTATGAAGGGTGTTACTAAAATTTGAGAATATTTCAGGGCTGGTCTTATATTTTAATCAGGTATATACTCCTTATTTATTAAATCAAATTTATACAGGGCACTTAGAAGCAGTTTTACAGTGTCTGTTCATTCTCTTTACAGCATGAGTAACATCTGGTGAATTTCATAATGTAAAAATGTTCCTTGGAAAATGACCATACTAATTTCTCCTTTCTCTTTGTCTGTCTAGTGAGAATTCAACAGAGGCTATAGCAGTAGATTCTAACAATCAGTCGAAGTCCCCACTGGAGAAGTTTATGGTCAAACTGTGCACTCATCATCAGAAGCAGTTCATCCGTGTCCTGAACGATCTGTACACTGAATCCCAGCCGGGCACCGAGGACCTGCGACCTGATTCTGGAGCAATGGATGCATCCACTTGCAATGCTGGCTGTGCCCAGCTAGGCACCAGACATAAGGAAAAGGATGCTGCATGTCTCAATATGATGTCTCCTACTTCTGTAGATTTGTTTGTAGACTCATCAGGCTCACACAGCCCTCCACACTTGACAGAACAGGCCCTGAAGGAGCCTCCTCCTGAGACAAACTCTGTAGATGGAAGAGAGAATGCCTTGACTATTACCCAGAAAGATTCCTCTGAACTTCCAACCACTAAACCTAATTCTGGTAGTTCAACAGATAGTTGCAGTCTGGGATACCTCACCACACCGAATTCTTCCTCATTAAGCTTCCACCACATCGCTAAGAGCTTGGAGGGGCAAACCACTGGACCGGAGCAAGACACAGATGTGAAAATGTGTGAGGAGGGGAAAGACCATATGCAGAGCTCAGCTTTAGTAGAAAGTCTGATTGCAGTGAAAGTGGCAGCTGAGAATAGTGAGGAGAGCAACACCTGTATTGTTTCTCAAAGAAATTCATTCAAAGCTTTATCAGAAGAGGCTTGGGACTCAGGGTTTACTGGGAATTCACCTAGAACTGCTGACAAAGAGAATGCTTTACTGTGTAGCTCAAAAACACCTTTACGCCAAGAGTTAGAGTCCAGTGAACAAGATTCAAGGCCAAAGCAAGAGAACCATCTTCATTCACTAGGAAGAAATAAGGTGAGTTATCATTTACATCCCAGTGATAAGGGTCAGTTTGATCATTCCAAAGATGGTTGGTTAGCCCCTAGCCCCATGCCAGCCGTACACAAAGCATCTAATGGACATTCGCGAACCAAGATGATATCAGCCTCCATTAAGACAGCTCGGAAAAGTAAAAGGGCATCAGGGTTGAGGATAAACGATTACGATAACCAGTGTGATGTAGTTTATATCAGTCAGCCAATAACAGAATGCCACTTGGAGAATCAGAGATCAATATTATCTTCTCGAAAAACAGCCAGGAAGAGTACTCGAGGATACTTCTTCAATGGTGATTGTTGTGAGCTGCCAACTGTTCGCACACTGGCCAGAAATTTGCACCCCCAAGAAAAGGCGAGCTGTTCACCAGTGGAACCAGAGGGAGCGGTCACTCCCAGGCAGACCCTTCCACATTCAGCCCCTGGACCTGCAGTGGATATGCAGGATCCCAGAGAGGACGACCATGAGGAACCTAGTAAAGAAATAACCTCCCTCAAGGAAGGAGAAAGAGAAGCTTCCTCTGAAAAGGAATCTCAAGAGCCTGAGGTTTGCCCCACAACAAATAAACCAAATCCGAGCAGCTCTCCTAGGTCAGAGGAAACAACAGCCTCCAGCCTGGTGTCGCGTCTCCCTGCTCACCTTCCCGAAGAGGACATGCCAGAAGGCAGCTCCATGGTCTCAACTCCCACAGCAAGTGGGATGGCTTCCCCTGAACGAGACCAACAACCAGTCGAACTGCTGGATATCAAGGAGGGGACTGTCACCCAAGACTGTCACCTGATTTCCTCTACTGAGAGCATTTCTGAGGGAGGCAGTGAAGATGTTGTTTCTAGGCCTCATTCTTCTCCTGAAAGAGTCAGTAGAGAGGAAGGTCCTCTGTGCTCAGAAAGTCAGAGTCCCCCAGTGGGCTTGGAGCCTCCCCTGAGCCTGGGAAAAGTTGAAGACAGCCAAAGCATCAGTACCAAGGCCGAGACTGAAGACACTCAGGAGCTAGATACTGACCCACTCTTGAAGGAAAGCAGCACTTTTACTAATGAAAACCCCAGCAAAATTGAGGACAGTGAGGCAGCAGGTGGTACAGGAAAATCAGAGGGACAGGGCAGTGATGTAAAACAGTCTTCAGAAAAAGATATGTGTGATCAAAACATTGACTCCCCTGAAGAGAATGTGGACAAGAAGAAAAAAGGTAAAAAACTCCCTGAGGCCTCTGACAGGTGCCTGAGGAGTCAGCTTTCAGATCCCTCCTCTGCCGATAGGTGCCTAAGAAGTCAAAGTTCAGATTCTTCCTCTGCTTGTCCTGAGATCAAGATTTCTAAAAATCCTGGTATGAAACGTTCTAAGAAAGAAGGGTACTCTGGCGAGACAGCATCAGAGGGCCTTCTGGCTGACGGTTTCCATACAAAAGGTCTGGAGGACCCTGAAAACCCAGGTGTCGATGAAAATCCCTCTGAGAAAGACGCTGAGCAGGAGGGCGAAGGAGGTGGGATCATCACCAGGCAGACTTATAAAAACATGCTGGCGAAAGAAGTCAAGGGGGAAGAAGGAGATATTTTCCCCAGCAGTGATCCCATAACCACAGTTGGCCAGCCCCTGCCTGGAGAGAGACTGGAAATCTATGTTCAGTCTAAGTTAGGAGAGAAAAATGCTCATGACCCCTCAGAAAGTATTCCTTGTACTTTCCCAGAACAATCAAAAGAGAAGCCAGACCCAGTTCCTGCACAAGATCCAGAGGCAGTTGCGAATGAGGTCGGCACTGCAAACGCCCAGCGTAAAGATGACGATAGTGACGTGCCGTCCAGTGCACTTGGGTTGTCAAGTAGTGGAAGTGGTGATGCCGCTGGGCCCCCAAAATGGGTACCAAGGCTTACAAGACTGACTTCTTCAACCTACAACCTAAGGCACGCTCATTCTCTGGACTCCTCAGATACTGCAAAAATGACTTCAGAAAAGGAAGTAGCTCAAGGAAACCCAATGCCAAAGGAAAATGAAGCTTCGGAGAGTGGAGATCGTGTAGACGAGGATGATGTGGACATGGTGGTAGATGACCAGCCAAAGTTTGTGGAATGGTGTGCAGAGGAGGAGAACCAAGAGCTTATTGCCAACTTCAATGCACAGTACATGAGAGTTCAGAAAGGCTGGATCCAGCTGGAGAAAGAAGCCCAGCCAACACCAAGATCAAGGAACAAGTCAGATAAACTGAAGGAGATTTGGAAAAGCAAGAAAAGGTCACGGAAATGTAGGGGTTCATTGGAGGTTCAAAAGTTTTCTCCTGTTCAGATGCTGTTTATGACAAACTTTAAATTATCTAATGTTTGCAAATGGTTCTTAGAGACAACTGAAACCCGGTCTCTGGTGATTGTGAAGAAGCTCAATACTCGTCTTCCGGGAGACATCCCCCCTGTCAAGCATCCTCTTCAGAAGTACTCTCCTTCCAGCCTGTACCCCAGTTCACTACAGGCTGAACGCTTGAAAAAACACTTGAAGAAATTTCCTGGAGCTACTCCTGCTAGGAACAATTGGAAAACACAGAAGCTCTGGGCCAAATTTCGAGAGAATCCTGACCAGGTGGAGCCAGAGGATGGCAGTGATATCAGCCTCAGCCCCAATTCTGAAGACAGCGTAGAGGAAGTCAAAGAAGGTCGAAATAGCCATCCTCCCACAAACTCACCTACCCCAGCCAGTACCCGGATCCTTAGAAAATATTCCAATATTCGAGGAAAGCTCAGAGCCCAGCAATGTTTGATCAAGAATGAGAAAATGGAAAACCCGTTTGGGCAGGCTGTGGAAAGTAAACAGAGTTGTAAGAGTGTATGCATCAACCCGCTGATGTCCCCCAAGCTTGCCCTGCAAGTGGATGCAGATGGGTTTCCTATTAAGCCCAAGAGTACTGACGGAATGAAGGGAAGGAAAGGGAAGCAAATGTCTGAAATCTTGCCGAAAGCAGAAGTGCAGAATAAACGCAAGAGGACAGAAAGCGGCGGCGCTCAGGACAGGAAGGACACAGGAAGGTCCCCTGTGGTGAAAGCCAGCAAAGACAAGCATGCCGATGGATCCACCAGAACCCCTGCGGCCAAGAAGCCAGCTGTGAGGGACCGAATCAGCCAGCTGCCCAAAAAGACATCCTTGAAAGAGAATAAGCTGAAGACCGCTAAGAAGTCTCCTGGGAAAAGCTGCCCTCCGTCCAGGAGGGAAAAAGAGAATACAAACAAAAGACCCACACAGCCCTCTGCCCCGGAGATAGGGATGAAACCTGCAAAGCAAAAGGGGGCAGGTGAATCCTCTTCAAGACCACAAAAAGCCACCAACCGGAAGCAGAGCAGTGGAAAGACTCGGGCCAGACCCTTGACGAAAACCCCAGAGAGCAGTGCGGCCCAGAGAAAGCGAAAGCTGAAGGCAAAGCTGGACTCTTGTCACGGCAAACGGAGACGGCTGGATGCGAAGTGATCGGAAGGCTGGCAGCCACAAGCTAAACTGTCCTACAGAAAGTAACCCTTCACTTTGCATTAACTAAGTCTGCTTTTATAAGCTCAGCCAGCCTTTCAGATCTGCAGTTAACGGAGAACACCACCATTGAAGATGTCAGAAAATGCATCTCAGATGGAGAAGGGAACTTGCAGTCTTTCTCTGAGGCTGAGTAAGGGAAGTTATATATTATATTCTGGTTGTTCCTTGGGTTTTAAACTTGGAACCAAGCAGTTTTAGTTTTTAAAAGTACAGTGCCTTATTTATCCTTTTTGTTTTTAAATTTACAAAAGCTAAAAAGCTGATCTATGTGATTAAAGGCTTGTATTTTATACTTGATGCACAAGCACTTGTACTGTAGCCGAGAAGACCACCATCATGCACATAAAAGTAGCTTTTCAGCAGCCATCCTGCAGTGTCCGTACCTGAACAGATGCTCCTCTTTGCAAACCCGAGCAGTGAACTTCCCTCTCTGTCTTGTTTGTTTAAATGATATTCGAAAGCTAAACCAAATCATTTTTATGGTATGTGGAGATTGCAGAGGGAATTTATAATTATTATGAAAGATGAATATTTCTGTTACCCCTTTTTTAAAAAGTCATTTCATTATTGGTCACTCCTCTCACTTTTGGCCTTCTGTCATTTAAAAAATGTATTCTAAATTATGTGCCCATGGGACAAAAGATGTGTCACAAGGTGTTAATATTGAGTTATGACCTCTAAAATTTATTTACACCGCCCAGGTGATTTGCATTACTGATTCTTACCATCCTTTTCATTTTTGGCCTTGCAAGCTTGCTAGCACTCTAACAAGGTTTTCACCTGACTTTGAGGGGAAAAATGTAGGATTTTTTTTTTCCATCTTGTAACTATAACTTGACAATTGGGATGAGAGTGACTATTGTAATACTCTTTCTTACCCTGAATACTTCCATATTCAAAGAAAGCCAAGTTGTTATTTTCAGTACTAGAAAAGTTTCAGAGTTTGTGTGTGCATGTGCATTTGGGTGCATTTGCCTGTGGTTATTAGCCGCAGATGTCTCTGAGCCGCAGTTCCACAGTAAAATTCTTTCTTCCCCATACAGTTTGCTAAGGTGTTCATGAGCTGGGTAATTAGCACAGGCCAGATGGTTTAAATGTGGCCCAGGGTCTCTAGGAGTATCCGCAAAGCCAGTTTGGCACCAGACTCAGAAAGGTCTAAACCGCACAGAGTTATGTAAAGGGCAGAGCGCCCTTGCAGTGGGAGGCGGCAGCTCTGGCATCTCATAGCGGGCCCACACCCCTCCTCCCATCTGGAGCTGGTGTTCAGTTGGCGTGTCCCAGTGGGGAGGTGCGTGCAGCATGGGCGTTCGCATTCTCAGTGGTCGGCACCATCCTGGTAGTTAATGCCTGTAGTATCGCTCCTGCCGCTGTCACGTCAGGCTCCATGCCTTGGCTCAAAAGTGAGAGCTGCAGTGTTTGTGACTAACGTTGTTTGCCTTTCCCGAGTGACGCCCGAGGTGGTTGCACTGGTCTTACCTTGGTGCCTGTGACATTGCTCCATTGTGACACAGTGTGTACTCAGCATCTCCCCTGGGCCACTCTACAGAAAAGGCTTGGCTGTTAGAGCTTCAGCCAGCCTCTCTACTGTGCTCCGTCACAGAAGCAGGCTTATCTGCTGCAAAAACGCCATTTAGATGGTTCAGATCTATTTAGGTAAACCCAGATGGACTTTCTTCATGCATAGTTCGGTCAGATCATGATAAAACAGGCCTTCTACCCATTCTGTTAAAGATTTGCTGTATATAGTGAGAACTTCTGCTGACTGGATAGGACTGGAGAGAAATGTTTGATTCATGGGAAATTGGGAATTGTATTGAATTTCATAGACTATCTTCAATGAAGCCTTGACTTTTCCCCCCCTATGTCTCCTCTATCCCATGAGTCTCTTTTTTTCATTTTAATATCTTCGACTTTGGCCATTCAAGAGCTACCTATATTAATGAAACTGCTGAGTGTGTATGTTGGACAGCCCTTTCTCAGCATTAAGTTGCACAGAAGCATTAGTATGTTTTCAGTAGGTTCGGTTAATCTTTGAAAAGTGGTTTTAAAGTTTTTAAAAAATATTTTCACATAGTCGTCACTGGATACTGTTTTTGTGGTGACTTAAACAGCTGAGGGTTGCCGAGGTCACGTGTGCGGACTCCGGTGTATATGTTGCAGGTGCCCCCTTAGCTGCATGCAGACTACCTTGCAGTGGTGCTTGGATTAGGTTAGGGGGAGGTGCGAGGCAGTGAGCGGGTGCAGCCCTTCCAGTTCCAGGCTTATTAACTCATTCCATTACTTTTCTAAGTTCTTTTCATTTTAAAAAGCTTACTTCAAGATAATAGCCTTTTCTCCCATTTTAGGCAGCATTTGAGAAAAGGTATCAATGTGTATGCATTTTTTTTTTTTTAATACACTGCTGTGGATCATCTTTAAAATCAACTTATGTTTTATAGTAGTAACAACACTTAAATAGACTGGGATTCTACATAATTAGAACACTTAAAAGTTTAGAAGTATTTTTATATTTGTTGAATCTCATTTTTGCTGATTCAGTTAATTTTGCTAATAGAAGAAAGGAAAAAAAATGAACTTGAGGGCTGGCTCTGGAACGCCCTTTTACACTTACAGCCGATGCTGGCAAAACTGTCTCCTAGACACCTCCAAGCCAGACCTGCAACTGACTCAAGTTTCCCCTTGTTTTTCCTGTCTTGCAAAGACCTCCTTTTTATAGCCGTCTTCACAGTATGGCTGGCCACCAGATGCAAAGGCAGTGGATCCCACATTCCAGATTCCAAATCACAGAAGAATTCTGCTCCTGGGCCTACTCAGCACAGTGACTGTCCCAGCAACGGAGATGAAGTTGCTGACCAGAGAACTCTGGTATTACCTCTGAGCTTCTGGGAGAGCTGCAGGGGCCCTGGGGAGCAGTCACTGAAGCTCTACCTTAGCTCCCCAGAGCTGGGCCCTCTTCGGGAGACCCGTCTTCTAGTCTCACTTCCTAGCCCCTAAGGCTCCCTGGGTTTGGGAGGACAACATGGAGACCCTCCCTAGTCAGGGCCCAGAGCCTCACCCACAGCAGTCCCTCAGACCCCTGGCAATCTGCAGCACAGCAGGGAGGCAGTGCACCTTTCTTCTGCTCGTAAGGCGTCCTGCACAGGAATGTCACTAGTGTCTGTTAATCTGCAATTGCTAGTCCCTTGGGTCCCGTAGGTAGGCCAATTCTGTTGCATCTGTATTTCAGTAAAGATTTCTACACAAGCCTTCTCTAAAAACAATAATCTTGGGCTGTGGGTTTCGCTCTTGCAGTGGTATGGATAGGAGAGGTGCAGGTCGCAGTCCCTTCACAGACGCGGTGCTCCTGATGGGCTCCTCTGTGCATTTCTCACTGTTCAGATAGGACATCAGTGAAACACATCACTTCAAGACAGTTGCTTTGAACTGAAGTTCGGTCTCTTTCCTGCCTTGTGGTGGATTCTGTAGTGAGGGCTACAGTTGTCACTTTCCTCTCTGGGAGGCATCTTGCTGATTGAAGGACCTAAGAACTAAGGAGGAAAGGACAGCATGCAACACAATGCAGATGTCACCATCAGCAAGTCTGGTGGCTTGTTACCGCGCCTGGGACCATATTGGAGTTTCCCGAGGTGCTGGGCCCAGGAGCCACCCCCGTTCCTGTTGGGTTTCCTGTCAGCCCACGCGAGCTATCTTTTTTAGACGCTCTCTCAAGGGTCTGCAGAATGTGGGCTGGTCGCTCTTTTGTAAATAGAAGTTTAATGGAACATAGCCATGCCCGTTTGTTTACATACTTTCCATGGCTACTTCCCAGCAGAGTGGAGTATCTACAACAGAGACTATATGGCCTGCAAAGCCGGAAAGATTTACTGTCTGGACCTTTCAGAAAAAGTGTGCTGACCCTCCTTGTTGAAGAAAATCATCCTTTTTCAGGAACCAATCTTGCCTGATTTATCTTCTCCTTTCTTTTGCCTGCCCCCCTCTCTGTCCTCTTCTTTTCTTCTTTTTCCTCCTCCCCTTCCCTCAGTTTTGTTCTTCCTTTTACATTTCTTTGTCTCTCCTTGCTACAGAAAAGACATGACATGTTGTTAGCGCACACTGAACCCGGCCTCCTGACCCTTGAGCTACCGTAGCCTCACACCTTCCTTCTTCAAGCCGCCTGTCACTGGCCACAGTGAGGCCACCGGTAGTCTCTAGGGTCAGGCCCCACAGGCAAGGAGGGCTTCGGAGTTCTCAGTGCAGCCCTGGCCTCTCATTTCCCTCTGTCCTTATCTCAGACCTGACTCTGGCTTCACATCTTGTGTGTTACTGAGGCAAGCCAAGGTTTGTTTTTGTTTTCAAAATTAGTTGAGAATACTTCAGTTGGAGGTTCAGTTTTCTGAGCCACATGTTTAGATACAGAAAAAGCCTTTTCACAGAAGAAAAACAAAGTCCAGTCACTAACCCAAAGTATTTATTATGTAATGTTTTTGGCCAGCTTCTAGGAAAATAAAAATGTATCAGTATTGATATTTTTTCAGTCACATACTCTCCTTTCAAAATAACTTTATTAAAGGCAAGCCAACAAATAAAAAATAGGGGCTTGCTTTGACCATGCTTTTAGAAAAGAATAGAAAATTGGAGCATATTAGAACCTGAGTGTAACAGAGAAGTTGTAGATTGTATCTTTTGATCAAATCCAGTCAACCTCCAAGCTGTTGGTCCTCCCTCTCCCGCACAACTCAAGAATAAGCTTCTGTACTGTACTACAAATGAAGTTGAATATCGTGTCAGTGAAAAAATTTCTGTCAGTGGCCCCAGAACAGTGATTGTTTCAATTATTTTGAAACAGATAATTATTATTTTGACTTCTCAGCTATTAATTTTTGTCGTCTTATGGCTTGATGTCCACTGAAATACTGCAAATTTCTCCTACAAGTATGAAATCATGTCTATGTATCTCACATTGGCAAGGCAGTCCTCACATCCCAGCAGTAAGCATTCTTCCCTCCCAAATCCTTTTTCAGGGAAAAAAAATGAAAATAAAAAGATTATTGTATTTAAAATAAGCAGAATTGTGAAAAGCCTTTTGAGGCAACCTTCAGTAAAGTTCATCCCTTGAAATGTCAGAACAAGCTGCTTGTTCTACAGTGGGTGCGTTGGAAGACTTGAAGATCTGACCTCTTTCCTTTAAAGATATTAAGTCATACTCAGGCAGAAACCCAGAGCTCTCTGATGCTGCTTCCGACTTAGGGCTTTGCCGTGTTGTGCTGGGGGGACCCGGAGGACCACCTGGGGCGCTTCTGCAGAGGGTATGCTTGCTCATGCTTTTGCTCTTGGAACTGAGCCGGCGCTGGTCAGTTCCTTCCATTACCTCCTGTCTGTCTGTCCTTCCCTTTCCCAGAGCGCTGGTGGTGTACGCTCGGTGCTCAGGAGACATTCTTAGCTTCGGTGTTCAGAGGGGCAGTTGTGTAGCTGCGTCCGCCTAGCAAGTACAGTGATGCACAGAGGCTTTCTCCCCTGCCTGAGGCCAGTCCACGTCACACAAGGTGCTCAGCAGTAGGCAAGGTACGTAAAAGTAC